GATACACGTGATGCTTGGAGGCTGATGGAGCGTGTTGATTTCCACGATGGAAATTCCATGTCGGAGCAGCCTAGTTGCACATCTATAGGAGCCTGTTGAGCTTGTTAGAGATCTGCTTTATTGGATGTCCCATTTTATGTCATGCCTTACCTTGATTGCAAATAGTGCAGGAAAAAGATCTGCCTTTCTGTAAAATCATTGGGTATGGTATAAATAATGCCAATGATGATGATTGTAAAGTGAAAGATAAGTGACTATCAAGCGAAAAGACCAATATATTTTATTATTAATACATCAGGTACCTGCGGAAACAGTAACTAATTAATATAATTTATAGTGAAATTTTTTGTCACACGAACACCTATTTTCTTGAAAGAGTTGGTGGATTTAAACCATCAGCCTAGGGCTGCAGGCCTATACTATCTTATTCTCAGTCACCTCACCCAGCAACATCTGAAGATATAGGAAAAAACAGTGACTTTGTGCTTTCTGATAAAGTCACAAAACTAAATCATACTAACACTGGGAAAATCTTTTTTGCTAACATGCTTTACTATGTACAATAATATAACTAAATTTGTATGGGAAGCTAGTAAAATGAATTTCATTCACAAAAACAGCATGCTTCTGGCTAGCTGGTGGATTTGAAATCCCAGTGAGATAAATTATCATTTTCACTTTTGGGATACCCTGGTGCTACTTACATTTTAAAAATCTAATAGATTCGCATGTTAAAATATACTGAAATTTTTAAGCTTGTGAATGAAATTAGCAACGTGCTGTGCCTATCAATGTGAGACATTAAAATCCCCAGAGCAAGAGAGAGTGGTAGAGTTTAAAAATTAATTCAGATCGTGCACCTGTTTGCAGGAATTCATCTGTTGAATTTGCATCACATTTAATAAGTTTCTGTGACGCAATTCATGTCCTTTTGTCTAGGCTCCCTTAATCAGTGTTAATTCACACCCATATGAAATTCAAGTAATATTACGAATTTAAAACTGTTAATTAAAGTCTACAAACTTGGATAAATTGGGATAAAACTGGCTTTAACGAAAAAAAAGTGTCTTTTAAATTTCTTTAGCATTTAATCTTCAACTTCTGTCATGTAAAATCCAGATGACTACATGATCTTACACTGATCTATCAATGAGTTACAAAGTTAAATGAAATCAAGTAAAATTAAGTAACTAGCTCAGGGGCAGGCAATTATTCTGGGTGGAGGGCCACTTACTGAGTTTTGGCAACTCATTGAGGGCAGCCAGAGGCAGATAAATACTAATTTTCTAAAGTTTTTAGGGGCCCCACAGGCCAGATACAATGGCCTGGTGGGCTACATCCGGCCCCCGGGCCGCATTTTGCCCACCCCTGAACTAGCTTAAGCAAATGGGTAAGGAGGAATAGCTTGCTTTCTAAGGAATATCACAGACTGAAAAGAAAAAAGAATTAGTGATCAGGAATATAGACAAACTACATTAAAACTACATTTTAAGAAGTGCAACGTTCATTTTTTCCAGTAAGTTTTAACATATATTCATTAACGTTAGGATTGCCCAATATAATATAAGCGGCTGCAAGCTTCAGCACAAATCTATGTAAAACTGTTTTTCTCAGTTGATTTCTCGGGACCTGGTCAAAGTTGTTCACTTGAGAACCCCTGATATAAACTATTTATAGAGTTCCTATCACTTCAGGAAGTTAATGGATGTTGAGGGTATTTCAAGACAACAAATTATAAACAAGGTAAAACATTGTCTAACTCTCCCTACCAGCTTTCCTTCTCCCTTGCGTAAGCTACGCAACCCTTGCACTGACACATGCCTACTTAACAACCAGAACATAGTCATTTCTGACAGCCTCTTTGTAGCCCTGCATCTGTAGGAACACCACCTGATGAAGGTCCTGCATTAAGTATTAGAAGTAAGTAGTTTCTTGAATTGGAACAAAGTGAGAATGCAGGGCTGGAATAGACCTTTTGGGTAATCATATTCAAGTCATTTGGCATCGGAAGCAGTCATGTCATAGAGCCCTACCCATAAATGTATGTGTATTTATTAGGCTCTTGTCCCCACTACTCCTGTGGAAAGGCTCTATTATTAGAAACTTTCTTCTGATTTCAGCCTAAACTTATTTATGACCAGTTTATAGGAATTTATTTTTGTGTGAGCACTGCTTTTTAGCTTAAATAGTTATTTCCCCTCCTTGGTAGCTATCCCCTTGATGTATTTATAGAGAACAATCATGTCTCCTTCTCAACCTTCTTTTTTCTAGAGTGGTAAGAATATCCATATTCCAATAGGTTTAGCTTGTCAAGTTTCAGGCTATTAGCTTCGGCTTCTCCAGAGTCTGGTGAAAGGCAGGGCTTTAATGTATACAGTCTTAGGGGATTTAGCAAATCCAATGGCCTGTAAACGGAATAGGAAGCTACAAGCAGTATGATTACACTGTTTGCCTTCATTTGCATGTCCACTCCATGCAGCAGGGAAAGTGATGGAAGACGTGCATCCACTGGCCAGATTACTTAAATGAGAATAACTATTTCATACATCTTTTCTCCTCCCCTAAATTCTTACAAAAACTGATCCAGTCTTTTGCTTTTGAAGGTGAAGAGGTCTGCATATTAAGTCTCATATGGCCTAATGATCAAGTATTTAATTATGCGAATGAATTCTCGCTCCTCTAAATAGATAATATGATGCTTAATCCATTGGTTTGGGCATTCAGATTGCTCTACAGACATACATCATACGACTCAGGGTCCCGCTCCAGTTCTGCCCAGGGGAAAACCCTGCAACGATGCTCCCTATCCCAGCTCCTAGCCACTACACAGCAATGATTTTGTAGAAGGGCAGGTCTGGATGTTACATGAAGAGTGATATTGTACATTTTGTTGACCATAGATGCCAGTTCTAATTAGCTGATGTTATGTATCCTCTCTCATGTGGATAACAACACATTATACTTTAATAAATCTGCCTGTGTGTTACTAACTAATATTTAATAATATAATGAACAGAGTCCTTAGAGTAGTGGTCTTGTGGCCCTTACTCTAAGACAGCTCGAAGTGAAATGAAAAGGAGCTCTCCCCAATCAAGGACTAAAAGAGGGGTTAAAATTGTTTTAACTTTTTGCATAATCTACATAGAGAGATGGACAAAAAGTCTCAAACACGTTGGACTGTTCTAAGGTTCTCTGGCATGCATGCTACTGTACTGATTCACAAGTCAGTAAGTACACAGAGTACAGCAAGGGTTTTAAAGTGACAGAAAATGTGCATTGTCACAGGAAGTGCCAATTAAGGTGATGACTCACAGGCAACCCATCCAACTCTGTGGCATATTTGACCACTGTCTCTTACAAGAAACCAGTAAGTTAGTTCATGATAGGTGAAAATTATTTTTTTTTAAGATACTTAGCTTATTATGCTATTAACATACCTGTTTAGTTGCTTTAAGATTAAAAACAATGATATTTTAAAATAGCAGTTCTGCAAGAAGCATACATGTGACAAACAAGTCAAGGTACTGCCATTTAAAGTTAATAGGAATGGCTACTTTTAAAATATATAATAGCCATATTTTATTTAAGTTATATATACTGATCTAGCTCTTCTCCATTAAAAAATATTTCCCTTCCGTACACTGTGCCTAAATATGATATTTTTATAGCAAATGGAACCTTCTTATTATTCCAGAGCACTAATTATTTCAGGTCTCGCAGGTACATTTCAAGCCTATTTGAGTTTACCTTATAACTTACTTGAACACTTTATGGTTTGAATACAAGGATAAGCCTTTGTTTGTTAATGTATCTAAGAACAAATAATCAGTTTTGATTATTTACTTATTAAGTCATAAAGTATGATGATAAGCCAAAAATGATTAAATTTAACATTAACCTTATAGATTCATAGAGGTAGGGTTGGAAGGGACCTTGTAGATCATCAAGTCCAACCCCCTGCCCTGGGCAGGAGAGAAAACTGGGCTCAAATGACCCCAGCCAGGTAGACATCAAGCCTCCTCTTAAAGCCCCCTCAGGTAGGAGCCATCACTACTTCCCTTGGAAGTTGGTTCCAGATCCTAGCCGCCCTGACTGTGAAGTAGTGCCTTAATGTGAAGTGTTACAGTTTGAAGAATCTATAAATACCCCATTGGGTTTTCTTAAATCTATTGGAGAACTTAAAAAAAAAAAAACAAAAAACAAAAAAAAAAAAAAAGAAAAAGAAAAGAAAAGAATCACCATAAACCATAATGAACTGTATTAAAAGCTAATTTTCCTAGCTCTGGAAATAAGTATTTCAGTGCTTTAGATTAATTTGTGACAAGACCTGGTTATTCTCCAATGGAATCATGTTAGACAGCTACTGAAGTTGTATTTTGCCTTGGAAAACTTTCATCATAGGGCAAAACTGTGCAATTATTTCCTGCCTGGAACGCAAGTCTTCCAAGCTCCATTTAGTTCAGGAAGTTTATGGTGAACAGCAGCTAAGAAGAAGTGTTTCAAAAAGCCCTTCAGGCTGATCTAGTTAGCATGCACAAAGTGAAATAATTTATAATATCACTTTATTCTTTTTAGCTGGTTATTTAAAATAAAGAGATGAGCTAATTTATTTTAGTGATTGGGAACTGCCCTGGTACTTCCCCACCCCCACAATATTAAAATGTACAAACTTAAAACTAAGAGAATAGATTACATATATGATATTTGAGGGATTATCAACAGTAGTGATAAAGATTTCCCTGTGCTGTTGTCATTCCATGTTTTACATTGGTAGGCACAAATGATAAATCACTTCATGTAAAATCTGCTATTAAACTAATCGGCAAACTGCAGCATAAAGAATGGGAGCTTACAAAACAAAACAAAACAAAAAGCTGACATCAGAGAAAGATAGGCAGGATTCAATCTTGCATGATTTCAAGTGCAAATAGATCCCTTTGGGACTTTGGGGATTAATATTTTTTTCTCACTCAGACACTGTTCAGAATTAATGAGGGTACCTGCAACAATGCTGGCAAACTGCTGAGTTCTGGTGATGGGGTAGATGCTGCGTGCCTGAACGATTGCTGAAGCTATTTTCCTGGCGTGCCTTTCCTCCCCGTATGTTCTCAGGATGGACGTAAGTGCCTGTTGATCTAAAGCATTCACAACATCAGCAGCGGTGGGCATGTCAGGGTACCTACGCACAAGAAGAGCCAATTAGTTCACTGACGTCAGTTTTCATTGACAAAAGGTGAAGCTTCACAGCATTGAGACATAAAGTCAAACACACACACTGCATACAAGTGCCCTCGAGGTTTTAAAATAAGACAGCAAATCCATGAAAATGGAAATAGCTTCTACCTTTTAAATTCTCTTATTACATCAGATGGAGTTTCTTCCTTAATGTTAATTAGTAATAAAAGAATAGCTGAAACTTCAAGCATTACCATAAAGTTTAACATTAATAAGTTGACAAAGAATAGCTGCATTTCAAGTATTATTTTAAAATTTAAATGCTGCAAAGCAGCCTTTATTTAGAGAATTTCAAAACATGAACTCATTTTTCTTATGTTGATTAAAGTCATTCTGCATTATCTGTTCTGTTTTCTATTAAGAATATAGAGGGGCTAGTCTCAAAAATCTTTTCTCTTATATCTAGGGCTAGGAAACCTTTATGAACATTTATGAAACTAACTCGTCTTGAATTATCACTTAAAGCTATTACATTTTAAAAACAAAACATATTTTAAAAGAAAAAATATATGTTATAACCTGTTAGAATACAAATAAACTATTCCACATCCCTTTCACCTTAACAACTTCACTACTAAAATGGTTCAACGTCTTGTAAGATACACAGAATGAGAGTTCACTAATGTGAAGAGAATGCTACATCTCTTGAAATTATTTCACAGACTCTCTTCTTGTAGAAAAAGAATGACAAGCAGAATATTTTTCAGCATTTTATTAATTCTCCACAGCATCTAGCAGGAGATAAGAAAACTTAACTATAAAAGGCAACTGTGATGTAGGTGTTAGTTATACCATAGGTGTTCTTATTCCTATTCTTATCAAGCAATTTCATAGAGTTTACTGGCACAAGCCTCACATTTAGATTCCAAAAAACTATAGGGTTGAATCCCAGTAGGATGATCTCAGCTGTTTATGTTGAGCTGGATAAATTGAGTATCATGCAATTTATTGTGTGTCAGTTTAGAAACTGAGGACTCCTATTGGCAATGCATGAACATTAAAAGGCCTTTTGGTAAATTTTGCAAGATTACTGTCTCGGACGGCAAGACCCGACTCGAGTTAAGTTAGAAATTGCTTGTACGTTAGGGCGGGCTGGTGAATGGAGAGGCAGACACAACTTATCGGTTGCAAAAAACTTTACTCACGCCGCTTGCAATCACGACGCAGGTGGTCCGGTCGTCTGAACAACCACACGAGTTGTTCCAGTTGGCGGGGCCCAAGCCAGTTAATCCGTCTGCAGTTCGAAGCCGGCGGGGAAAGGGGTACGTCTGGGGTTGCGCTCGGCGACGGGAAGAAAGATCGATAGGTGATCAGTCTATCGATCGGC